ACTCACAGGAATCACAAGTTAAGATTCAGACCTTTGTGTCTCAAAGTTAATTCCCTAAAATAATACAGCTTCACTTTCAAGGTCTGGACAAAATCATTTTGTTTGGAGAAGACTTTCAGTGAAGTGACTGCTAAACCGTTGGAATTTACACCTACGCTGTCACTCTCCTTAAACTCTCCCTTGCCCCCTGCTGTTTCAAAGTGGTCATTGACCTGGCAACACTACAGGTACATTTAGATCAGGGGTGTCAAACTCATTCCATGGAGGGCTTAGTGTCTGCTGATTTTGGGGGTTTCCTTTCAATTAAGACCTAGACAACCAGGTGAGGGGAGTTCCTTACAAATTAGTGACCTTAATTCATCAATCAAGCACAAGGGAGGAGTGAAAACCCGCAGACACTCGGCCCTCCGTGGAATGAGTTTGACATGTGATTTAGATCATCAGACAGAGGGCTGTGGACATTACAGAATAACACCTGAAAATATGTTTTCTGATCAACACCAGTCACTGTCCTGTCCTATAAGAACTACAGAGAGAGCTCACAAGAAAATGTATGCACTCACTAACTGTAAATCGCTCTGGATAAGAGCGTCTGCTAAATGACTAAAATGTAAAATGTAAATAAGCTCTGTATGTCATCTTGAGTGGTGTTGTGTTCTAGCTCTGCTCTTGTTTGTCTAAGGGAGTTCAGAGAGGAAGCCCTGACTTCTATCTGTGGTTGTTCTGCTACACTACTGCTGCTCTCTCTCTCTCTCTCTCTCTCTCTCTCTCTCTCTCTCTCTCTCTCTCTCTCTCTCTCTCCCTCTCCCCCCCCCCCTCTCTCTCTCTCTCTCTCTCTCTCTCTCTCTCTCTCTCTCTCTCTCTCTCTCTCTCTCTCTCTCTCTCTCTCTCACACACACATCTCAGTTCTTATCTCTTTGGTCTCACATCTCACTATCACATCTCTGCTCTCTGCTTTTGCATTTCTGCTGTTCTGAGATTCCAGAGAAACGCTTCCTCTCAAGGTGTTCTCAGCACCAGGTCTGAGTCATAATCTTCATCATCATCATCACCACCATCCGCGGCAACAGAAGTATAGTTTTTATTATCTTCCCAATCTCCTCCTCCTCCTCCCCTCCTCTTCCTCCTAATCATAATCATTGTTAAAACTAAATATTCATTAAATGTTTAAATATAGTGTGTGTTTAGTATGTGGAAACATGCTGAGGTGCTGTGTGTTGTTCGGATGAACGCTCTCGTGGGAAAGCTGAAATGATATCTGTGTTTCTCCATTAAATTTTTGGAGGAGTAGGAAGAGGAGACAGGTGGAAATAGTCTACCAATGACCTCTTTCTCTCCCCTGAGCTCTCCTCCTTCCCTGTTTCAGTCTTTCTCTCTCCCTCTCTGCCTCCCTGCTTCACTCTCCCTCCCTGTCTAGCAATTTCCCTTGTTGTCGGGGTCTTCTTTCATTACTTTCTCTGCTCTCACTCCTTGTTGCCCTCATCTCCCTCGCCCTCTTTCTGTCTCCTTCCCTCCCTCATAGCTCTTCTCCTCTGCAGTTCCATTTTTCTCTCTATCTACATCTCCCCCCCATATCTCCCTATCTCTCTCGATAGCTGTTGTCAGCAGCCTGTCTGTCTGTCTGTCTATCTGTCTGTGTCTGTCTGTTCTATAGGGGGCTGTCTGTCTGTTCCATACACTGCACATTTGGGTGCTAATTCATTTGCTGTGTATAACTTCACATCTCTGCATGGTCATGCAGAAAGTGAGGGCGAGTGAGAGGGAGGGAGAGATGAAGAGAGTGAGGGATGAGGAGAGAAGGAGGAAGGAGGAAGGAAAAGAGATGCAGTTTTATCTCTGAGAAACAGAAAACCACATAGACCCTATTGTGTATTCTGGAATTGTTCTTAATTTCGCCTCCCCCATCTCTGTCTCTCTCTAGCAATTTAATTTAAATTGCTTTATTGCTTTATTGGCACGACGTAACACTGTACATATTGCCAAAATACTTGGGAAATGTACATCTCTCTCTCTTTCTCTTTCTTTCTCCATGACCTCCTTTTGCTGACTGCTTTTTTGTCATTCATGTCCCTTGTGTTCAGCTTTCCTACTAATCCAGTGGTTTGGTCACATCACTTTCACTGACTGTGTGTGTGCATGTCTGTGTGTGCATGCGTGTGTATGCAGGCATACGTGTGAATGTGCTGTAAACAGCATAAGTTATCGACATGAAAAAGGCAAGCTTTGCGTGGGGTTTAATTTCATCTGAGAAATAGGGCAATACTGCCACAACACCCTCCCTGGCCAAGGTGTCTAGTTTTGATTTACATTTGGTTGGGTTGTCAATTAACGTAAATTCTACTTGAAATCAACAACAGAAATTCACCATGTCATTGGATTTGTTGTAGGTTAAAAGTTGATTTAATGTCATCAAATTTTTTTCCAGTGGGAAAGCTTTCTGTGTGTGTGTGTGTGTGTGTGTGTGTGTGTGTGTGTGTGTGTGTGTGTGTGTGTGTGTATCAAATCAAATCAAATTGTATTGGTCGCATACATGTTTTAGCAGATGAAATGCTGGTGTTCCTAGCTCCAACAGTGCAGTAATATCTAACAATACACAACAATACACACAAATCTAAAAGTAAAAGAATGGAATTAAGAAATATAGAAATATTAGGACGAGCAATGTCGGAGTCCGGATATGTGATGGAATGTATAGACATTATAGACAGTATGTGGATAGAATATATAGCATATCTGAAGAATACGTGGATAGAATGGTGTATGTACAGCAATAGTTGAATAGGATGGACTTGACTAGAATACAGTACATACATATGAAATGGGTAAAACAGTATGTAAACATTATTAAAGTGACCAGTGTCCAGTGACTATGTACATCGGGCAGCAGCCTCTAAGGTGCAGGGATGAGTAACCGGGTGGTAGCCGGCTAGCGACTAAGCTAAGGGCAGGGTACTGTGTGGAGGTAGGCTAGTGATGGCTATTTAACATTCTGATGGCCTTGAGATAGAAGCTGTTTTTCAGTCTCTCGGTCCCAGCTTTGAGGCACCTGTACTGACCTCGCCATCTGGATGATAGCGGGGTGAACAGGCCGTGGCTCGAGTGGCTGAGGTCCTTGATGATCTTCTTGGCCTTCCTGTGACATCGGGTGTTGTATATGACCTGAAGGGCAGGCAGTGTCCTCCCGGTAATGCGTTCGGCAGACCGCACCACCCTCTGGAGAGCCCTGCGGTTGCGGATGGTGCAGTTGCCGTACCAGGCGGGGATACAGCCTGACAGGATGCTCTCATTGGTGCATTTGTAAAAGTTTGTGAGGGTCTTAGGGGCCAAGCCACATTTCTTCAGCCTCCTGTTGCGCCTTTTTCACCACACTGTCTGTGTGGGTGGACCAATTCAGATTGTCAGTGATGTGTATGCCAAGGAACTAGAAGCTTTTCACTTTGTCCGCTGCGTCCCCGTCGATGTGGATGGGGGCGTGCTATCTCCTGAAGTCCACGATAAGCTCCTTCATTTTGCTGATGTTGAGTGAGAGGTTATATTCCTGGCACCACTCCGCCAGGGCCCTCAACTACTCCCTGTAGGCTGTCTCGTCATTGTTGGTAATCAGGTCTACCACTGTTGTGTCGTATGTAAACTTGATGATTGAGTTGGAGGTGTGCGTAGCAACGCAGTCATGGGTAAACAGGCAGTACAGGAGGGGGCTGAGCACACAGGACCCAGTCGCACAGGGCGGGGTTCAGACCCAGGGCCCTGAGCTTAATTGATGTGTACTATGGTGTTGAAGGCTGAGCTGTAGTCAATGAACAGCATTCTTACATAGGTATTTCTCTTGCCCAGATGGTATAGGGCAGTGTGCAGTGCGATTGCGATTGCATCATCCGTGGATCTATTGATGCGGTATGCAAATTGCAGTGGGTCTAGGGTGTCGGGTAAGGTGGAGGTGATTATGATACTTAACTAACTTCTCAAAACACTTAATGATGATAGAAGTGAGTGCTACGGGGCGTGTGTGTATGTGTGCATGCGTGGGTGTGTACTGTGTGTGTTTCTGTACGTACGTGTAGTGTGTGTAGTGTAGTCTAGTGCGGTGTGCTTGTGTGTACTTGTATGTGTGTGTTTGTTTTTTACGTGTGTGTATAGTGTGTGCATACGTGTGTGTGCATCATAAATAAGTATTTGATTAAATGTGCTAGGCTTGTCAGGATGTAGGCCTCAAAACATTGCAAAGCAATCACTTTCCTTCTTATTGAGAAGGAAAACAAACATATTGTGCCAGGAAATTAAATGAAGCATACTGATGGCCAGAAAAAAATTTTTGAGGCTGGACAGTGAGACTATTTGTGTTATTCTGTTAAACTTACATTTGAGAATCACGAACTACATGAGAATACAATTACTAGTATGCGCTAACATCAAGTAACATGGAAGGAATCCTACACATATCTGTAGGATGTTAGCTGGCTTAATGTATGCACTTTGGATTATGGAGAGAGGGAGTGTAGTGTAGGTGAAAATATGTAATTTCAGAAAATATGTTATCTTCTCAACGACTTTGTGTCCAGAAATTATTTGTAACATTCTAGCTACATGTAGTGTACAACCCAGCATGTTCCTCCGTTTTCTTTTTGTGCTACGTGCACTTGTGGTAGCAAGCCCAAAATAGAAACCTAGACGGATGCTCAAGCACACATACCCCTCTGCTCACCTACTGTAGCTCTTAGCAATACCCCCCTCCCCTCTTTGCAACACCTTCCTCTCTCTTTGTTTCCGTGCACCACTGTAGATACAGTATTAATCTTAATCTCAAACTCTCTTACTCTTTTATATATTTCTGTGGTGTACACTCAGTAATCTTTATCACACTTTAAAAAACCTCCTCATATCAAAAACACATACTCTGTTTAACTAGCAATACAGGGCCCCTGTCAAAAATGAAATGTTGAAAACAAAGTTGATCCTAACCATCTTATTTTCTTTATTTTTTCTCAACCCCTCCTCTGCAGGTTTTCCTGAGCACCCTCCTTCTGCGTGAGTGTGTTATGGCCTCTGTGATGGACGATTCCTACCGTAAGGTGCTGTTGCTAGGGGCCATCGCCGCGGCGTCAGCCTTCGTGGTCACCATCGTCATCGTGGTGGTTTGTGTGGGCTGCCAGAGGTGAGAGGTCACAGCCCACACCTCTCTCTCTCTCTCTCTCTCTCTCTCTCTCTCTCTCTCTCTCTCTCTCTCTCTCTCTCTCTCTCTCTCTCTCTCTGTAAATGTAACCAATAAAGAACAAATACATTGATGTTGCCCCAAACTGTATGAAAAAAAGGCTACTCATTACTCTTCAGTTTTGTAAACCATTCATTTTTCTGGTGCCGAATTCCTGCCTCCAGTGTGTTGTTATGGTGTGACAGTCCTGTGGGATGTGGATGCTTAGACACCTGCTCATGGCTCCCCGGGGGCAGGCAGAGCTGAGAGGTGCCTAGAGAGATGTGTCCTGGGCTGGAGAGAGAGACAGAGTCCCTGGGGCATCTCAATGGTACTAAGTGGCCTCTGTGCGTGTGTAGGTGCACATGTGCATCTCCTCTCCTTTATCTTCACTGAACTGAAAAACACAGGCTAGGTGAAAGCAATGTATGGATGGCCTCCGGGAATCTACTTTCACATGTCCATTTAGATCCGATCGGTACAGGTGAAGAGCAGTAGATGAGGAGAGGAAGCCACATATGAGAATTGAGATCAGTTGCACGTATAGTCAGATATACCTTCACACCTCCTCTCCCACCTCTCTCTCTACTGCTGTCTTCAGCACACCTGCATCACATGGCTCGCCCTATCAACAGTCCCCCATGGATACACCGTTCCCAAGGCGCCCGTAGTGACGTGTTAGCAACCATGGAGGAATATTTACTTCTCTCTGAGTGAAACTCAGCAGCGACATGGTTAATAATAGCACAATAATAATAATTGTTCCTTCATGTGTCCTCAGGAAAAACAAGACCAAGCATCCTCCGGCCAATGGAGAGAAGGGCACCTCAGGAGACATGGTGAGTTATTTTAATTGCCCACGCTGGCCCTTTCACTTTTCCCTTACCCCATATTAACCCCTTCTTTAACCTCATACATTTTTTATTCTTTATGTTGTATATTTCAGACCTACCATCCATTGCACCCCATCCACGATCCCTTTACCGTCGTTTGTTATCGGCCCACCCAATAAATTGCATTCCTAGTACTACCTTACACATGACTTTGAGAGCTCACTCTACCACCCAGCATAAAATCTACTAAATTATCACCCTCATTTATAGCAGCAGAAATATCAAACACATCTACACTCTTAGAAAAAAAGGAGCTGTCTAGACCCTTAAAGGGTTCTTCGGCTATTCCCATTGAAGAACCCTTTTTGGTGCAAGTAGAACCCTTTTGGTTCCAAGTAGAACCCATTTGGGTTCCATGTAGAACCCTTTCTATAGAGGGTTGTACATCGAACGCAAAAGGGTTCTACCTGGAACCAAAAAGGGTTCTACTGGGAATCAAAAAGGGTTCTCCTATGGGAATAGCCGAAGAACCCTTTTGGAACCCTTTTTTCTAAGAGTTTAGCACCACCCAGTTATTGTACATCAGACTGAGCAGTGTCTATGCTCTCTGTATAGGGTGCTCTCCGTCAGCCCAAGAACAGCTCCATGAGTAAATCTGACACTAGGCTGCATGAGATCAACCGCCTGCCCCGCAACGGCAACAGTGAGTAACAATACCAACAACCAATAGACTGCCAACAACTAGAAAACTACCGGTACATTGGTGAAATGGAAACTATGTAACAATGACCTGGTAATACAAGTCCCCCTCCTTCTCGCTCTCTCTAGGTGGGTGTAAGAACCGTCCAGCCAGTATGGACCTTCTCCTCCTCCACAGCCGTCGCTCCACCTCTGACCTCCGCCCCCCACTTGTCCGCCAGCTCCCCCTGATCCCCACCAGCCCCGAGGGGGAGGGAGACCCAGTGGGGGGAGACATCCAGGGGGAAGGAGGAGAGGGGGTCAGAGACCACACCTACACTGAGGTGGGGATCCGGAACTCACCCGTCCGTTGCTTGGACGACGGGCTGTACGAGAGTGTAGGGGTCAGAGAGGTGGACACGGTGCCACCCGTTCCCCCGTCCACATCAGCCAACGGGACCTGCACCGATGGTGTCCGCAATGGGAACGGAAACAGGAATGGGAATGTGCGTATTTATGCTATGAAAGCAACGCAATAGAAGTGTTGACATCGCGTCATCATTGGAGACACTTTATATTGTGACCGCCTACCTGTAAAAATGTTAGTTGTTAATTTTGTTATTTTGCTTTTCATTGGTTGGCCCAATGGAAGGACCAGTACCTTCCAACTCTGTGTGTTTGTGTGCGTATACCTCAGGGGAATGGCAGAGGAGCTGTTAATGGGAGTAGCAGAGGAGGAGGGAATGGGCCCAGCAGTGCTAACGGATCGGCCCTGCCCTCCTTCCCCTCCATGGCCCCCCAGGTCCCCGTAACGGCAGAGTACGCCTCCATACGGAAGGTCAAGAAGGTAAACTGTGTTTTCCAATGGAGTGATGGAACAGCATTATACTGTATGAATTCGTACTCTAATTAATTAAAATTGATTAAGGTGGACAAGGCAACCAAGAAGGAGAACGGGAACGCAGAGTCAGATGACCAATCAAGTCTCCAATCAAGTGTGGGAGAGTCATCCTCTGCCCCGCCCCCTCCACTGCCCCGCAGCCAGGAGTTTCCACGGAAACAGCTGGATCCATTCCACCTGCACGTCTTCCCTAAGGTACGCCCCCTGTACGACATTCATGGACAGAGACTCAGTATATTTGTTGTAATTCTTCATCAGCATGTGTACACTGTTAACCCCACAAGGCATTTTTTACTCAAATACTTCTAGTAAATTGAACTCAAAGTCAATGAAAAGTAATTATTACTTAAAAGGTTTATGTGGTATTGACTCAAAACTAAACAAGGCAACAGTCAACATGTCGCCCCCCTCGAATGATGCAGTTAATTACTATAAGCTACCACCTTGGACCAATCACTGTAATTTTGTAAACGCCGGATCTCTATGGCAAGACACATAATTCACCCAAGTTTCATCAAAATCGGGCCAGTGCTGTCTGAGATATTGCATGTGACGAACATACGAACGAAGACAGATCCACAGTCCCCTCCCCGATTTCATTGTGGGGGACAATAAAATACACAAGGGACCTATATACAGGGAGTACCAGTACCAGATCAATGTGAAGGAGTATGAGGTATTTGAAGTAGATATGTACATGAAGGTAGGGTAAATTGGCTAGGCATCAGGATAGATAATAATAAGAGTTTTAAAAAAGGCAACAGTAAACATGTAGTCCCCCACGAATGATGCAGCGCCCCCCTTGGGCCAATCAATGTAATTGTGTAAATGACGGATCTCTATGGCAAGACACATCATTCACCCAAGTTTCGTCAAAATCGGGCCAGTGGTGTCTGAGATATCACGTGGGTTAGCTAGACTCATATACCTGAGCATGTGTGCCAAATTTCAGCACTCTGAGTCAAACAGATAAAGAGATATAAACATGTGCTCATTATAGCACCACCGTGGGGCCGATATGAATTTTCTTGCATATGTTGAGTCTTGACAGTGTCTGCAACATGTGTACCAAATTGTGTTACAATACGAATATCCTTGACTGATTTATATGCATTTATATGCCAGACCAAGCCCACGTGAATGTTTATTGGTCAATAGCGGCCATGTTGTTTTAGGTACTAGTCTGGACTGTATTTGTTAGTGACAGAGACATGGTTGTTGAATTTGTTCATTTTCAGTCCTGTGGCCTTCAACAAGTGAGTTCCTAGGCAAATGTTATCATTATTAAACTCTTTATGACAGTACATTACCTATCTCATAAGTTCTTATTTTGAGGCCTAGCTTTATCCCAACACAGTGGCCTGAAACTCATGCTTTACAGGCCACATTAGGCCTGCAAGTAGGCATATATGTTATTTATCTTTGTGTAGCATAACATTTATAAATCAGTCACTCAATGTACATGCAGAAATACTATATTATTATTATTAAAAACAATTCCAAAGAATTAACCTGCAGTGGCACATACTGGGGAAATAGTTAGTTTGTTGTCATAACTTAAAGAATAGAGTTGATTTGACTTCTCATTTAGTTCTGAGTCAGTACCACATACACATTTTATTGACTTTGAGTTTAATTTACTAGAAGTATTTGAGTTAGAAATGCCTTGGGGTTTTGAGTGTAGATGCTATATGGCAGCAATATTAACCTGTCAGTTCCACCATTTACCCACCAGAGGGAACTATGTCCTCCACTTTGTTATTCCTTCTGCTCAGTGCTCATTGTTTGAGCTCAGAGGAAGATTAGATCTCTAACGCTCCGGGTTGAAGTCCCCCCTTAACCACAGGTCTACGTACAGATCACCCTAACCTCAATTCCTAATCTTAGCCATTGAAACTGAGCTTAGATCAGTGTGTAGGGAGCAATTTCAGCCTGATCTTTATCACTATTTCCAGCCCCATGGGCTCTACTGACCTTATCTGTCCACATTAATAGAACGTCAGATCTTCACAGATTGTGTCTAGGAGAGAAGCAGAATTGATCAAAGTATGCCAAAATCATCCTTTAGTTGTTAGAATATGTCCCACAGACATGATTAAATCTCATTGTTAAAAGTATGCCATAACTCATGATATCATTTTGTAACCAGATAAGCCTGATGGAAATACTGTGTATAAACAGTCAAGGCCAGTTTGTGGGCTGCACTGAAAGAGGGAAATGGAGGGACAATGATTGGATAAAGATCAAACTTTCCTGTGTGTTTGGCAGTCCTACCTGTTTTGTCTTACTGTGTGTGTTTTGTGTGCCTGTTTGTGTGTATGTGTGTGTGTCTGTGTGTGTGTGTGTGCGTGCTCACCTGCATTTGCACAGCACAAACAGGGTGATTGTAATCTGCTCGGTCACAGGTTTGGTAGATTGGCAGAGCTATGTAAAGTAAACAATGTTATGTTAACAGTGGGTGTGTGTCTGTGTTGTTGCTCTACTTATTTTCTACTGTATGTATGCGTTTGTTTACACTGTATATTAACGGAATGTGTATAATAGTGAGTATGTGTGTATGTATGTGAATGTGAGCATATGCAGTATTTGTGTGAATTAAATACAACTGTGTGTGCGTATGTGTCATGTCATCCTGAGGGGTATACTACGAAGCAGGTTTGAGGAGTTGGCGAGGTAACTTTGGTCAACTCTGATTTCGCCTCGGGATAACCGATCATACAAAAGTGGCTCACCTTTTAGCCAGGTAAATTTGAGTTAGCCTGCTTAACTCACAGCTAACATTGAATGAAATGTCTGAGCCACAAGTTGAGGATCAATGAAATCAGATTTGCTCCCTCTTGCAAAGATTGCGTTATCATCCCCTTAATTTGAGGAAGACGAATAATTAGGAAAACGTTTTTTTGTGTTAAAAAATGTTTAATGTTAAAATACTGTATATCACATTACACATTTAGTAATGACAGAATGCATTTTAAACTTCACACAATGTGACACTTTTGTATGACTTAATAAAAAAAATATATAGATAGGAGTGGGGAAAAAGGTGTTTATGCATTGATAAGTGTAACCGGTGTGAAATGGATAGATAGTTAGCGGTGCGTGCTAGTAGTGTTTCAATCTGTGACGTCACTCGCTCTGAGACCTTGAAGTAGTTGTTTCCCTTGCTTTGCAAGGGCTGCGGCTTCTGTGGAGCGAAGAGTAACAGTGCTTTGAGGGTGACTGTTGTCAATGTGTGCAGAGGGTCCCTGGTTCAAGTCCAGGTAGGGGTGAGGAGAGGGACGGAAGTAACACTGTTACATAAGCACGCCAAGACTGCATTAACGATAAGTAATGAAATAAAGACGGCACTTCTAAAATACTATTTCACACCATAGCCTGCTGAATTTGCAAGATAACTTTGATTTCGGCTGTAGCCTGAGCTGGATTGTGACGCTAACTGAATCTGGTTAGCTTTAGAAAACCCTGAGTAGATCTAGCTTGCTTTGTAGGATACCCCTCAGGGCTACAGGCCCCCAACCCAATTTTTGTTTATTTTAATAATTTTTTTAGGAACTCAGTCGGGGTCTCAACTTACTGTTGAGAGTTAAAATAGTAGAATCATCAAGGTGCAATTTCGAAATTTGGTAGTGCATCAGCAGTTTTACTCTTGTAATGTCAGTCATTGACAGTCAATTATCACATGTGAGCTAAAAATGTTTTAATTGGTATCTACACCTTGTAGTAATCATGGCTGAATTACTGAGCAGGCACGCAGGGCATGTGCCCAGGCGCCGTTTCCTCAAGGGGGCCCCCATTGATTTTGTTAGTCACTCTCACTCAGATATCATATGAGCATGGCATAAGTCATGGAACATTTTAGAATACCTTTCAAATTGCAAAATGTTCTCTCGGCCCCATGGGAAAATGAATAGAATTACATGAAATTGGTTTTAAAAACTGCAAAAAGGTTCTCTCCACCTCATGGCAAAATGTGTAGAATTGCAGGAAATTTGCTTTAAAACGGCAAAATGTTCTGTCCGCCCCATGGCCAGATTTTTTAAATTTCAGAAAAATTGCTTTAAAACCACAACATTTTCTCTACGCCCCATGGCAAAATGCGTAGAATTGCATGAAATTAACCTTAAAAAAAAAAATTTCTCTCCGCTGTCAAGAGGGGCACCACTAAAAAAATGACCCAAAAGGTGCGGGCCCCCAAACTAGGGATGGGCATTTGAAATTATTTCACTATTCGAATAATATCAATAACAAAAAATTGGAAAATGTCAATGGACACTTGCTCGTGTAACGTGGTTCGTTCTGCGTTGTTTACTTTTAATTAGGACACTGCCACAACTGGAGGTCTGCTGGTTGGATTCTTTTTATTTGCCCTGCACACGAAGAGACAACACACAATATGTTAGCCCTTGGCGCAGTCACAGCTCTCGGGCACCTGCGTGAGCACATGAAAACTCACTCAAACACCGTCCCAAGTACTCACAAATTACAATAGGTACCCTAATTAGCGAGCTCGGTGAAACTTTTTATATTGTCCACATTGTCACAAAACATATAGTTGCGTAACAGCACTTTGTGTAACATTACATTTACATTTACATTTATGTTATTTAGCAGACGCTCTTATCCAGAGCGACTTACAAATTGGTGCATTCACCTTATATCCAGTGGGATAACCACTTTACAATTAATTTATTTTATTAATTTATTTCTTTATTATTATTATTATTATTATTTATTTTTTTGGGGGGGGGGGGGGGGTAGAAGGATTACTTTATCCTTTCCCAGGTATTCCTTAAAGAGGTGGGGTTTCAAATGTCTCCGGAAGGTGGTGAGTAACTCCGCTGTCCTGGCGTCGTGAGGGAGCTTGTTCCACCATTGGGGTGCCAGAGCAGCGAACAGTTTTGACTGGGCTGAGCGGGAACTATGCTTCCGCAGAGGAAGGGGAGCCAGCAGGCCAGAGGTGGATGAACGCAATGCCCTTATCACAATGCCATTACCACAGTTTTATATTGACAAATTACAGAGCCAAGGACAACATACCTTGCTAGTTGAAGGTCAGGCAAAAGAGAACAATAAGAGGGTACGTAAGTACAGATAACCCTCGATGGACCAAACCAAAATATACAACACTTTTACAACCAGGTGTATTTAATATAGATATATAAAAATGTTTGTACACCAAAAAATAACATTAGCTATGCAGCTGTAATTAAATAAAGAAAACACATTGAATTATTATTATTATTATTATTATTATTATTAACATCCCCTCTTGACCTGGCCTACTTGAACTGGTCCTTGTGTGCAACTTGGTGCATTATCTAGGGGAACAACATCACACTACTACATTCACCCCCACTGTTTTACACTAGATTATAAGAACAAAACAAAACACATTACCTCGAAGGTAACAAAGCAAAGAAAGAAAAAAAACATTTCACACCCACAGGGCGACAGAGTAACCCAGTGTAGTCCCTTAATTCTAGACCCACAAATGGTCGATCAGCTGGAAAGCTATCCCGTGAAGGATTAGGAAAAATAAGAGGTAGCTAATCCCTTATTCAACTGTATACAAAAAATGCCAAATACATTTTATGCTGATGAACTACACAGAAATCACCCTAAGACCCACTTAGATTACCACATACACAAAGAAAGAAAAAAAAGATAGGCAATATCCTACCGTCACTGAGAAACCAAGAACTGTTTCATTTCCTGTGTAGACATAGTTTGGATTAGCCTATTCACTGGCTTAATAAGTCTACCTAGTCTAAACCGAACACCCTCCCCAAAAACCTAGCAGGAATGTCACGGACAGCACTAACCGTGCTCAGAGGTCTAACCTCAGGTTGGGGAATACTACAAATCGGCATATCCAGAGCGAGCACACTTTCAGTTAGTAGTGTCAGACGACTGATCAGAATCCTGGTAGATTGTCACAGACCACACTGACGAAGCATCTTCAACCAAGTTAACAACATCTGTCACAGCACCATCCCCACTGAATGGAGTTTCGCTATCAGAACTCTTGTAGGCTTTGGGGATCTCTCTCTGGTCCACTTCTGCTGAGCACACCTCACTCAAGGGGACTTCATATGGTTGTTCCACTTCACTTCCATCAGCTGGGACTCCACCATCCTCTTGGAGTATCCTCCCAGAAAACTCAGGAATGCTTGCTACCCAGTGGACAGTCCTTGCGTCACTCCCATCCACTTTGCTGGACGCTGCAGACATCTCAGAGATCACGTCACCACTCGATAGAGATCCGTGACCCTCAGGTTCCCCCCAAGAAGGCAAAGGCAGAAAGTTGACTGGCATAATCAGGTTCCTATGCACAGTTTTGATGCGTCCAGTGGTAGGGTGTTGTATACGATATGTGTTCAGTGAGCTGTTCTTCGCAACCACTATGTACACTGCACTGTCCCAGCGATCAGCCAGTTTCTTCTTGCCCCTCTCTCCCTTGTTAGCAAGTAGAACTCTGTCTCACTTCTCTACCGAATGACCCTTCGACCGTCTGTTGTAGACCTCGGCTTGTCTCTTTTGTTGCTTACTGGCATGCTGCTGGGCCAATGTCATGGCCTTTCTCAGATCCTCACCCAGAGACTGGACATACTTATCCACATCTACTGTGCCCCATCCAACAGCACACTTTCAAACATAACATCTACCGGCAACCTAGGGGTGCGTCCAAACATCAAGAAGAAGGGTGGAAACCCAGTAGTCTCGTGAACAGTGCAGTTATAGGAGAATGACAATGTGTTCAACATCTGAGGCCATTTAGCCTTAGACCTAGCTGGCAGAGCTCTAATCATGCCACCCAGTGTGCGATTCAGACGTTCTGCTTGACCGTTACCCATGGGATGATAAGGTGTGGTGTGGGACTTTCCAACACCAGATAACTGAAGTAATTCTGCAATAAGTGAACTCTCAAAGTTAGCACCCCTGTCAGAATGGATACAATCAGCGAACCCATAAATGCAGAATAAATTATTCCAGAGAACACGAGCAACAGTCTTAGCAGACTGGTTTGGACATGGATACGCACAGGCCAGCTTAGTAAAGTGATCAGTCACTACTAACACATCAATAGACTTGTTGTTTGAATCCTCTGCAGTCCAGAAATCAATACACACGAGTTCCAAAGGTGCTGTGGAGCTCTTGCTTCAGGCTCAGGTGCTTTACTCAACACGCATCTCTTACAGTGGGCCACGTATTCCTTGACATCCTTTTCCATAGAGTCCCAGTAAAACCGCTGTCTCGTAAGCCACAATGTGCGCTGCTGACCCTGATGACCAGCATCATCATGAACTCCCTTCAACACAAGGCCTCTCAAAGACACAGGTACGACATACTGGAATATTTTCGTCTTAATCACTGGGTGTTTTGAGACACAATACAGAATCCCTACTGTCTTTAGAGTATAAATTGTTTCATTAGCTTCAAGGACTTGCTCTCTCCTAGATGGGCGCCGGCCTCTATCTACAAAGAACATGACTCTGCTGATGACAGGATCCAGTGACTGGTTATCATACAGTTCCTTGTGTGCAAAGACAGGTAAAGGGCTCTGACCCATGGACATCAACTTCTCAAGGTGCTGCACATGTGAAACGGCCCTCACCATCATCCCATCGGTGGTGAGCATGGAGGACAGCAGACACCTCTTCACAGGAAACCAACCCACTGACGTCGTCTCCAGCTCTACTCAACTCACTCCCAGGAGCCATAGACGTTCCACAGCCAGCCTCGGGCTGTTCACAGGAGAGGCGGAACATGTCTTGAACATCATCCACTCGAAGGCCTCTGGCTTCCTCCAGCAGGACATCATATGGAATTCTTGTCAGTCGGTGCAGAACTGTGGAGCGGGCAAATGGCTCTCTGCTCAAAGCATCGGCAACGACATTCTTGGGACCTGGTATGTACTGGATATCAAAATTAAAGGGTGCCAGCTTTGCAACCCATCTCTGCTCACATGCATCAAGTCTCGGCTTTGTAAGAATATATTTGAGTGTTATTGTTGTCGGTCCACACAGTAAACTTATGCCCTCGCAGCCAATGGCTGAATTGATCATGAATGGCCCATTTCATGGCTAGAAATTCCAGCCGGTTAGCAGGATACTTGGATTGTGCATGATTAAGAGATTTACTAGCAAAAGCTATTGGCCTGGCTATTGCCTTCCCATCTTGCACTTGGGATAGTACAGCTCCCAAACCACTAGTAGATGCATCCACAGAAAGTAAAAATGGCAGAGAAAAATCTGGATGAGCCAGCAGTGCCTGGTCAACTAGTGCTGATTTCAAAGCTTCAAAAGCGAGTTGACATTTGGCTGTCCAGTCTGCAGCAGTGAGCCTGCGAGAGGGACCAGGCCTCCTCCTACCCTTGCCTCTCCTAGGCTTCTTCTGACCTGTAGTTAGCTGAAACAATGGCCTAGCAACCATGGAACAATTCTCAATGTAGTGCTGATAGTATACTACCATACCAAGGAAAGAACGGATTTTGCTAGGAGACGGAGTGACACCATCAGCTTCCATCATCTCACTCTCAGTCACATTCAAAATAGTTTGAACTTTAGCAGGGTCAGTGGCTACACCCTCCTGAGAAATGATGTGGCCCAAAAACTTAACAGACCTCAAAAACTTGCACTTAAATGGAGACCGTTTAAGATTGTGCTCCTGCAACCGCTGAAAAACTATCTCAAGTCTCTGCAGACTCTCTTCCTCCGTCTTAGCAAAAACCATCAGATCATCCAAATAACAAAGGAGACTTAGAAAGTTTTGGTCACCAAAGATGGTCAGCATCATTCTCATAAAAGTAGCCGGGCTGTTGCAGAGGCCCTGAGGTAACCGATTGTACTCGTGCAGGCCTAAAGTAGAGGAAAAGACAGCTTATTTCTTATCCTCTTCATGCAGTGGCACGTTATAATACCCTGACGTCAAGTCCATTGTGCTGAAGAAGGCATTACCTCCCAGTGCGGCCAGTACATCAGCCTGATGAGGCAGGGGATGGGCATCCTTTACTGTGCGGGCATTTAACCACCTAAAGTCAGGACACAGGCGCAAGTCCCCATTCTTTTTCCATACCAGCACCAATGGTGAGGCATACTCGCTGCTGGATATTCTGACGATTTCCTTTTCCTCCATATCATCCAGTGTTTCCCTGAGTTTTTGGTAATGAGCTGGAGAAAGCCTAAGATAAGGTAATCGAAATGGGCGGTCATCAGTCAGCCGTATGCGATGGCAGAACTCCTTTGCCTCACCACAATCTAGGCTATGTCTAGAGAACACTGTGTCATACTTCCCAATTAAATTGACAAGTTTATCTTTCCAGAACTGTGAAACTGGACACTCCTCAACAGACAGGCCTTGAAGTCCAAGATTGCTCAGTGTACTGTTGCCATTAACTACACTGCCACCAACTGAACTCTTAGCTGTCAGACTGCCATGTGAGCTGTCACATTTAACTTTTGCCATGTTCTGGTAAGCTGCTTGCTGCTTGACATCATCAAAATCCTCCAATGCAATGCAAGGGTACACATCCGCCACTTTAGCATTTCGTCTCAGGGTAACTGGCGATGTTGTTGGATTCACAATCTTCACAGGGAGCCATCCATCCCCCCACAGAGGCGTAACTACTCTCCCCACTAATATGTGTCGATTCACACAACGAGACGTGCTGGGCTCGACAACAACAGTACTGCCCACAGAGAGTTTTGTCTTTGGGGGTTGGAGCGTTACTGCTCTCTTCAACTTAATGGTGCCCACTTTATCTGGGATGGAGTCTCCTCTCCTTCTCTCCAGATTTGACAGGAGACGCAAGAAGTGGCTGTCTTCACACTGGCTAGAGGACCCTGGTGTACCCACCACCCGCCAGTAGCTGTCATTTGATTTGAACTGTCTAATCAGAGACTTCAACACATTAGTGCCCACAATGAGTTCATCAACCTGCCCATCTACAATAAGTACTGGGACTACATAGCTGAAGCCATAAAGCTGAATTTTTAAGTCACACATGCCCACTTGGCTAGTTTGCGTCCCACCACAACCCACCAGGATGATGTCTGAAGGAGCTAGAAAGTTCCCCTCTACCACTCCTGCCTCCCTCAACCGAGGTACAATATCTGCTCACAGAGTAGTAGCCATGGACCCACTATCTAACATCCCCTTCAGCTCAACTTTATCCTGTACTAGCACAGTGGTGTAAAACAAACTGTCATTCTGAGTAATTCTCATTGTGTTCTGAAAAATTACTGTGTTGTTTTTGGGTACTGATTCACAAAAATAAGAATAAACAGATCATCAGTGGAGGAAAAATAAGACTGCCCCACATTGCCCTCCTCAGAATGGAGGCTTTCTAGTTTTCCTGAGACCTGCCAGTCTGTCCACATCCAGGGCTCTGTCGCTGCCCAGTCTCACTACAGTCAAAACTCATGTGGCCCGGAGAGAAGCACTTGAAGCACAGCTGGTGCATCTGACAGTGAGCTTTGGTCCAGTGATTAGTGCTTCCACAGACAGCGCACTCACGCTGACGTTTGTGGAACTGTTTACGGGGCCCTCTGTTCACAGACTGAGTATTGCTGACCAGAGCCTTCTCTAACAAAGTCAAAACTTTCTCTAATGTCCCACCCTCAGATACAGATGGTGCCTGGTCTGGTTCACTTTGAGAAAAAGATGACACATTAGGTCTGTTCACAGGACCCACTCCCTCCTGGGGGGAGTCAAAGACGGCAGCCACCTGCTGTGAAAGTTGTGTTCTACATGCTTTACGTTCCCTTAACAGTTCATCCAACCGATCCTGTACCTCACTGGCTGTCCAGTCACGAAGGGATTTGCTCTTGAATACTTGGGCCAACTCTTTATCAGGACAGTTGCGTACAAACATGACTGCCAACTCTGAGCACTGATTGGTTAAGGTCCTGCCCTCACTTACAAGGTACTGTTCAGCTGCCTCTGCAGCTTTGTTAAACCTAATCCAGAAATCTAGTAGACCCTCATTAGCATATGGTTTGATTGAATAGAAATCAGCTAATGGCATACCCGAGCAGACAGTATCCCCAAAGTGTTGCTTGAGAACACTGAACACCACCTTAACATCTGTGACAACAGGGTTGTTACGCATCCAGACTTTGGTCACATCCCGTGCCCTCCCCATGAGCCTATACATCCCCTCCCCAACATTCTCAGACCCAGTGTAACCCCTCTTCTCTAGGTAGACTCCCATTAGCTCCTCCCACTCCAGGACAGAGTACTTATCTGAGCCTTCGCCCCTAAAGAAAGGTGGAGCACTAACATCTGACTTCACAACCAGATTCAGCTTGGACGCATCAATAAAGGTTGACCCACACTGCTCAGCTGGGGTTGGTGAGGGGGACGGGCAGGAGAAAGACTTGAAACCCCAGGCTGCAGTAAACTCGCTCTGATAGATTATCCTATCTCTGAACCAACAGCTTAATAAGGTCACTAAGCTGACTTGGATGCGTCCCATTATTACTGAGGACTGTGGGTGATGGTACAAAGACAGAGGTGGGATACCCTGGTCAGGTGGAATAAACAGCCTACCCCTCCCAGTGCTTGCAAACTCAGGACTAGCAAATGCTCTACTCCCAGGAGCTGACTGTACAATTGGTGTAAATGGAAGGACACCCCTACCTCTACCCACACTAAAATCCCCAGCATAACTCATCTTAAGGACTTGAGAGTCTTCCATGGCTCAACAAAGCACTAAAATACAATGTAATTTACTGCAGTCAAATACAAAAGAAATTGCAATAAACAAATTCATCCAAAACATACAGTCAACACGTGCATTTAATTTATTTTTTACCTTTTTTAACTCGGCAAGTCAGTTAAGAACAAATTCTTATTTACAATGACGGCCTACACCAGCCAAACCCGGACGATGCTGGGCCAATTGTGCACCGCCCTATGGGAGTCCCAATCACAGCCGGTTGTGATACAGCCTGGAATCGAACCAGGTGGTCTGTAGTGACGCCTCAAGCACTGAGATGCAGTGCGTTACACCACTGCGCCACTCGGGAGCCCTAATGAATATGCTACATTCACCTTCACTATTTACAGTATATATTCGCTTACAGCAAACCAGCAGCAAATGCACATGCACAGATCGCGTACCTCATCCACATGCACAGCTCCGTTGGTCGGCTTGACCTGACCAGTCGGCAGGTCACGGCATCCGTTTGTAGCGTGGTTCGTTCTGCGTTGTGTACTTTTAATTAGGACACTGCCACAACTGGAGGTCTGCTGGTTGGATTATTTTTTATTTGCCCTGCACACGAAGAGACAACACACAATATGTTAGCCCTTGGTGCAGTCACAGCTCTCGGGCACCTTGCTAGTTGAAGGTCAGGCAAAAGAGAACCCAGGTGCTGCGTGCACACATTCAGTGCCTAACAACACACTATACAATACAAGTAAAATGATATACAACATAATTCTGACAAAATAAAAGACATACCTGCACACGAAGAGACAACACACAATATGTTAGCCCTTGGTGCAGTCACAGCTCTCAGGCACCCGCGTGAGCACATGAAAACTCACTCAAACACCGTCCCAAGTACTCACAAATTACAATAGGTACCCTAATTAGCGAGCTCGGTGAAACTTCTTAACATAAATCTTTATATTGTCCAAATTGTAACAAAACCTATAGTTGCGTAACAGCACTTTGTGTAACATTACCACAGTTTTATATTGACAAATTACAGAGCCAAGGACAACATACCTTGCTAGTTGAAGGTCAGGCAAAAGAGAACAATAAGAGGGTACGTAAGTACAGATAACCCGCGATGGACCAAACCAAAATATACACAACTTTTACAATCAGGTGTATTTACAATATAGATATATAAAAATGTTTGTACACCAAAAAATAACATTAGCTATGCAGCTGTAATTAAATAAAGAAAACACATTGAATTATTATTATTATTAACTTATTAACATCCCCTCTTGACCTGGCCTACTTGAACTGGTCCTTGTGTGCAACTTGGTGCATTATCTAGGGGAACAACATCACACTACTACACTCGCACGAAAGAGAGAGCCGGTGCGCTGCGCTCTGCTTGTTTCAGCAGAAGGGTGGGGGAGTGTTCCGAGAGAGGAGCAATGGCCGGTGTGTGTGACAGTCTATGTGTGTGGCACGGAGGGAGAGAGAGAGAGGGAAAATAGCCATACCGACTCACGCTAGTTAGACAAACTTCAGTTGCTACACATGGAGCCTCTGACTGTAGCGCTGCTTTAATTGACTGACAATAACAACAAGCTACACGTGTCAAACGTGTATAGGCTACCAGTGCGTCTTTTTTATGGGGTGCACTGAACTGTTGAATGTAATGGTCTATCCATGTAGGCTTTGTAGCAATGTCACATAGATCATTTTATTACATTTTTTTTATTCTCAATAATGAATGCTCTCCCAAGTAATCTAATACTAACGTCAATTTTGATATTTGAATATTCGAATAACCGTGCCCATACCCCAAACCAAATCTCTCTTAGGGTCCCCAAAAAACTAGGGCCGGCCCTGGTGTCATGATCTCAGGCTCTCTAGTGTGTCCTTGAGAGAGATCTTGTTTTTGTCTATTTAGTGTGAGTGTTTTGGAGAAAGCAAGTGATCGTTGTCTCTTGTTTATAGTTGAATGACATGGCAAAATTTAGTTTTCCGCCTAAATAGACATACCCAAACGTAATTATTTTTCATGAGATGGCCATAAACAATAACTGGTAATGTTGCATGGTTTTAGAAAGATTTGGAACTCACCTTTCTTGTAAAAAATAAATAAAAAATTGCTGAGGTGTACTCATTTTGAGGACACAAGCTCAAGTACATAGTACAAATATTATGAAAATATTAAAGATCATATATTACTTTTTTCCTATTCAACAAAGGTGGGCTATTAGGGCTTGAAATAATGGAAATGCTTTCTAAATATAGTAATAATCAAAGTATAAATGACTTACAGTAAGATTGCACATTTCTTATAACTGTAAAAGTAAATATGATGATACTTAGCGACAGTACAATATTTGCACTATAACGCTGACAGATAATTTTCTCCTTAACGTCCACTGAGCGGTGCAGAGACACCATTCAAATGTGTGCAGATTAGTTACAACTTCAGCTTTAAGCACAACGTGATTTTGTCCATCTGTGACCAAGAGAAAGTGGTCTTGGTTCAATTCTATGAAATTATTCTGTCGTTTCTCATTTTGAGAGCTCTAAATCCGGCGGAGAATATCACAGCGAGATGAAACTAGTATGAAACCGCTCAAAGTCCCCCAAATAGGGGGCTTACCATCTACAAGGATATTATGGTCATGTTTATGCGTGTGTACTGTAGCCTATATGTGTGTATGTGCTTCATAGCTCGTGTGTGTGTGTGTTTGTGAGCCTGCGGCCCCGCCCTTCTCCTGCTCTGTGGAGCACATGATGTGTGAGTGGCTAGCGGAGCAGAGGAGACATTTATGCAAGAGCCTGGCTGACTACCAAGCCATGTGTGAGTGAGTGTGTGTGTGTGCACGTGCGCATGTGCGCGTGTGTGTGCTTGCATGTGTGTTTTGTTAAATGGCATCGAGGGAAGAAGAAACAGCAAACAGGTAGCCGTCCAGCCAGAGGAATAAATAGTACACACACTGATTTCATCACTGGCTCTGGAGAGGGCAGCTGTCACGCCCTGACATAGAGATCTCTAGTTGGTTTGGTCAGGGTGTGAATATCTATGTGAATATCTAGAATGTGTATATCTATGTTGGCTGGGTGTGGTTCCCAACCAAAGGCAGCTGTCGATCGTTGTCTCTGATTGGGGATCATATTTAGGTAGCCATTTTTGCCTACCTATGTTGTGGGATTTTGTTTCTGTTTGGCGCGTTTGATTTTTAGCCTCTTGAACTTCACGTTCTGTTGGATTTTGTTATTTTGTCGGTGTTCATATAATAAACGACTATGTACGCATACCACGCTGCACCTTGGTCCGATCCTTTACTCAACGAACGTGACAGCAGCTTAATTTACAGAACATTAACTATTGGGCTATGTAATTATTGAGTTTGATCTTTGTTGGAATGTAAATTAAATTAAGATTTTATAAACAAGCACAATCAACAAACAACTCCTGAACTTTAATGAACTGTAATTGTGTTTACTAATGTCGCTCATAAAACATTCATAATCACTGACACCATAGATGATGGATATGTATGAGTTTCAGCTTTCTTTTTGTACCATACTGGTAAAGAAACCTCCTGGGAGTCTTCTCCTGCAGTGGATTTGAAGTGTAGATATGACAGTGGGGACAATGGAGTGTCTCTGTGTGTGATAGAGAGCAATAAACATCTGGATGTTGGTAGCACTCCTCTCTCACTTGAGGCTGAGAAACCTCTGACTGATCGACCAAGAGTTCAAAATATCCACTGATGAAGAAGAAAATCTAATTTGATGGCAGCATCTGATTCTGGTTATGATTGCTGTCTGATTTCTTGGCAGCTGTGCGCTGAGTGGTCTGTCTTTTGAGACACACACACAAACGCACACACAAACACACACACAAAACACACACACGTGGGGAGCATCTTTGATCTGGGGGCCGTGTATATGCAACACAACACACATGATTCATTAACCATCAAAATGTCCTCAAAAACATTTCACCCTCTGTCTGACAGTACTGTTTTGTTGTGATCAGAAAAAACAACAACCAAAAGGACAAGAGACAGCAGTATGGTGGAGGGGAGACTTTAATTGAACCTGACAGCATAGTGAAGCTGCATAGAGATTATATGCTGTAAATGGGGAGATATTTAATAGCACTACACATGTACACTTACAAATGTGTGAACAGAGATGATCTGATGCCAAAAGATAATTTCATCCATATGCACAACGATGCACAACCATTTCAACAACCATGGCATTCCTCTCTACAAACACAGTCCCTCACCGTTCTCTTACAAGACTAGTGGTGGGACGGATGGGTAGACAGTCACATGAGATCCACTCACACACACACACACACACACACACACACACACACACACACACACACACACACACACACACACACACACACACACACTCCTTGCTGTTCAGTGTGGACTGTGTTTACATTGTTTCCCTGGATAAACATTTGCAAGAGAACTCACACACACACACAAACATACAGGTCTCCTGTATCGTATGTCCATGTATATGCAGGCCGGACATAAAGCTGAGCTGACCTACCAGAGATAATCTACAGTGTGTGCGTTCATGTTTATGTGTGTCTGTGTCTGTGTGTGAGTATGCATGCATTGAGTTGTTTTGCTGGGATTTATACAGTATATTGTTCAATACAAGGCCCTTATTCAAAAGGTGTCTCGGAGTATGGGTGCTGATGTAGGATCATCATATATAATCATATTCATTATGATCTAAAAGACAAAACTGATCCTGTATCAGCACTTCTACTTTTGAGGCTCTATTAGTGAGGCTTATGTGTTTTTTTGTTGAGCAAAACTTTTTGTGGAGGTACTACGCAGCGCACAGACCCCCTCGCGCAGTCGAGATAAGTCGAGTTTCCTTGTAAGCCTATTTGGCGGGGAAACTGTGAAGCCAGCTGTATAGCCTATTGCATGTTTCTGTTTATGAGTCTTTTATTAAAGAATGTGAAACAATGTTGTCTTTTTGCGGCTTTTCATTGAATCATGCATAGCTGTTCTTTTTGTGGCCTAATATAAATGTGTTCATATGGCCAGAATATTATCTATAGGCTAAAAAATATGTATCTGGTAAAAGGCTGACATTTGGACGTTTCAATTAAAAAAATACTCTTTGTCACATGACTATAGAAATGGAAACATTGTGATTTTAGAGAAACAAAGTAACAATAGCCTATGATTAAAGGGTTAGGCTATACTGGGTTCTCACCATCATTATCATGATCCACATCATTCCAATTCAATCAAGTCACAATTATCAGCTTTGGTATTGACATCAGTGAGCAGGCTTTCAGAGTGAGGCGAGACACATGGGTAGGCCTACCAACGGAAAACGTCTGAAAATGATTATCAATAAGCAATAGGCAACAGATCTCTTCACAGCTTCCCAGGTGCTTCACAGCTTCCCCGGGAAACTCAACGTATTATAGCCTCACGTGAATGAAAGCGGAGCGGAGGAAGGAGTTTGCTTCTGCTGCAGTGTTCACCTTAATATATGATGTGTTGCGGCGGGGCTTCGAGCAGTGAGTATGGGCCCTGGCTACCAGGCTGACAGCAGAGCCCTCACCTCTGTTCTCTGTGTGTCCACCAGGAGGCGGTGTTCATGGGAAACGGGGAGCAGTACATCTGGAAGCCCCCTGAGGACAATGGCATTGTCACCTTGCACCCAGCGCCTACACCCCCGGGGGAGAACGGACAAGGATACATACCCACAGCCTTGGAGGTGAGGGATGTGTCTGTGTGTGTATGTAGGTGGGTGGTGGAGTGGGCGGGATGAGGTAAGTGTGTCATGGGGAGATTTGTGCATTGCTTAGGGAATATATGGTTTGTATGTACTGTAAATGTCTGTTAACTTTATGTGCAAATTGTGAAAGAGGGGGTCCTGTTTACCTAGAGAGCTCCTCTTTGATTGGCTTTGCCGCCATAACACAGACAACCTTTGACCTCTATGCCTTCCTGAGTCAAACTTGGTCAGGGGCCTGGTATCTGGTTACACTGCAGGGTCGAATTACACCCATGTTGAACCGCAACGTGGGGGTCGACCCATAACTTCCACACCCTAACCCTTAGCTCTGACATATCAGTCATACTATGGGACCAAGTACTTCTGGACAGTTTCACTTTTGGCTCAGTTGCAGACCACCAGGGGACTCTTTATCGGGTGTTTTTCTATTTATTTCCAGATCATTTCCGTTTCTGTTTACTTTTTTCCCTCACTGTACACTACCGGTCAAAAGTTTTAGAACACCTACTCATTCAAGGGTTTTCTTAATTTTTACTATTTTCTACATTGTAGAATAATAGTGAAGACATCAAAACTATGAAATAACACTTATGGAATCATGTAGGAACCAAAAAAGTGCTAAACAAATCCAAATATATTTTGCCTTGATGACAGCTTTGCACACTCTTGGCATTCTCTCAACCAGCTTCACCTGGAATTTGTTCCAACAGTCTTGGAGTTCCCACATATGCTGAGCACTTGTTAGTTGCTTTTCCTTCACTCTGCAGTCTGACTCATCCCAAACCATCTCAATTTGGTTGAGGTCGGGGGATTGTGGAGGCCAGGTAATCTCATCCCATATTTTCAGGTTTAAAATGCCAGGTTTATACACAGAGAATAGAAATACGAACGGTATCTTAGAGTAGACGAGGAGAAGGAGAAGAGGAGAACAAAGCAAATAAAAGATACAGTACAGGCTTCCTCAACAGCTGCAGTTTTGAAACCCCCATTCGTCTTGTGACTTCCTTCCTCTGCTGCAAACACACACACATACACATACATACACACACATGCACACACACACACACAATGGCTGCACAGATCACACAAACAGCGCAGGGCATGGACTTTGTTTATCAAAAAAGATCACCACAGATTTTTGGGGGCAGGGTAAATGTGGTGCTAGAAATATGTCAGGAAGAGAGAGACACACAGAGAGAGAGAGGGGGGGGAGGAAGGGAAGATTGAATGTTGAATCTTATGAAAAGAAGAACTCTTATTGTTTATGTTCTCTTGTATGAGTATGTGTTAGTATCTGCAGAGTATAACATATATACTTTGTAGATAGATACTCACAGTGTCAGGCCCATCCCAACAGTTACCCCCTAAAGACCATTGTGCATTTTTTGAAACTATGAAAATGTGATGAGTTGGTGTTGAAGGAGTCAGGCGCAGGAGGGTAAATCACAGAATAACAAGCTTTAATCCGCAAAATACAGGTTTACGCAGAAATGCGTCAAACACACTCCAGGCCACAAAACAGGCGCACTGGAAAATACAAGGTACACGGGAAATACTCCCGTCGATACAAAATACACGCGCTCCACCGAGCTTCACTAACCTCCACAATAAACAATCACCCCACACAGACAAGGTAGCAGAGGGAACACTTATACAATGACTAATGAGGGAATAAGGACCACGTGTGTGTGATTGAAGACAAGACAAATGGAGTGATGATAAATGGATCGGCAGTAGCTAGTAAGCCGGTGACGCCGAACACCGAAACCTGCCCGAACAAGGAGGGGAGGCAGCCTCGGCGGAAGTCGTGACAGTACCTCCCCGAGCCGCGCGCTGACCCCGGCCTTGGAGACGGCCAGGAGGACGCGGAGCAGGGCGAGCCGGATGGCGACGGTGGAAATCCCGTAACATGGAGGGATCGAGGATATCCCTCACCGGGACACAGCACCGTTCCTCCGGACCGTACCCCCCCCCCCACTCCACTAGGTACTGAAGGCCCCCCACCCGACGCCTCGAATCCAGGATGGAAAGGACAGAGTACACCGGGGCCCCCTTGATGTCCAGAGGAGGTGGAGGGACCTCCCGCACCTCAGACTCCTGGAGCGGACCAGCTACCACCGGCCTGAGGAGAGACACATGAAACGAGGGGTTAATACGATAATCAGGGGGAAGTAACAACCTATAAGTGACCTCGTTGAATCTCCTCAGGACTTTGAACGGCCCCACAAACCGCGGGCTCAGCTTCCGGCAGGGCAGGGGGAGGGGCAGATTCCAGGTCGAGAGCCAGACCCGATCCCCTGGTACAAAGACGGGGGCCTCACTGCGGTGGCGGTCAGCGTTGGCCTTCTGACGACGCACGGCGCATTGGAGGTGAACGTGGGCAGTATCCCACGTCTCCTCCACGTGTAAAAACCAGTCATCCACCGCAGGAGCCTCGGTCTGGCTCTGGTGCCACGGTGCCAGAACCAGTTGGAAACCTAGAACATACTGGAAAGGCGTTAGGTTAGTGGAGGGGTGACGGAGAGAGTTCTGGGCATATTCTGCCCATGGCAAGAACACTGACCACTCCCCCGGCCGGTCCTGGCAGTAGGACTGCAGGAACCTACCCACGTCCTGATTTACCCGTTCCACCTGCCCATTACTCTCGGGGTGGAACCCAGAGGTCAGGCTGTCCGAGACCCCCAGACATTCCATGAATGCTTTCCAGACCTTGAATGTGAACTGGGGACCTATATCAGACACTATATCATCTGGTACCCCGTAGGGGAGACCAGGCAGAGGAAGGAGGCGGCAGGCTTTAGAAAAGCGGTCCACAATGACCAGGATGGTGGTGTTACCTTGGGAGAGGGGAAGATGAGTTAGAAAATCAACACTTAGGTGAGACCATGGTCGTTGTGGAACTGGTAAAGGTTGTAACTTACCAGCTGGGAGGTGCCTAGGTGCCTTACTCTGGGCGCACACTGAGCAGGAGACATACACCCTCACGTCCTTAGTCAAGGTAGGCCACCAGTATTTTCCGGTCAGGCAGCGCACTGTACGGCCGATACCTGGGTGACCAGAGGAGGGTGACGTGTGTGCCCAGTAGATCAGATGGTCACGGATAAGAGCAGGCACGTACTGTAGCCCATCTGGACACTGAGGTGGAGAGGGATCCGTGTGTAATTCCTCCTCTATATCCGCGTCCATCGCCCATACTACCGCCGCCACAATGCAGCAGGCCGGCAGTATGGGGGTGTTGTCGCTGGGCCTCTCCTCTGTGTCATACAGCCGGGACAGTGCGTTTGCCTTCATGTTCTTTGTACCCGGGATGTATGATAGAGTGAAATCAAACCGGGTGAAGAATAGGGCCCACCTGGCCTGGCAAGGATTCAGCCTCCTCGCTGCCCAGATGTACTCCAGGTTACGGTGGTCCGTCCAGACGAGGAAAGGGTGTTTCGCCCCCTCGAGCCAATGCCTCCACACGGTCAAAGCTCGGACAACAGCCAACAGCTCCCGATCACCAAAGCCGTAGTTCTGCTCGTACCCAAGCGTTGAGACAGGACAGCTCCCTATCCCAACCTCGGAAGCATCCACCTCCACTACGAATGGTAGTGATGAATCGGGGTGGGCCAGTACTGGGGCTGAGGTGAACAGACCCCGCAGTTTGCTGAAGGCCAGGTCAGCCTCAGCAGACCAGCGGAGCCGGGACGGCCCACCCTTCAACAGGGAGGTAATGGGAGCTGCGACTTTGCCAAAGCCCCGGATAAACCTCTGATAGTAGTTGGCAAAGCTAAGGAAGCGCTGCACCTCCTTAACCGTGGTTGGAGTCGGTCAATTAAGCACGGCTGAAATGCGATCTCCCTCCATCTCCACACCTGAGGTGGAAATGTGGTATCCAAGGAAGGAGACAGACTGCTGGAAAAACATACACTTCTCTGCCTTAGCATAAAGGTAATTTTCCAACAGTCCGGCCAGCACCTTGCGAACTAGGGACACATGCTCGGCATGCGTAGCGGAATACACCAGGATGTCATCGATGTAGACCACTACACCGCGACCAAGCATGTCCCGAAACACCTCGTTCACAAAGGACTGGAAAACTGAGGGAGCATTCATCAAACCATAGGGCATCACCAGGTATTCATAATGCTGTCTTCCACTCATCTCCTTCTCGGATACATACCAGGTTGTACGCACTCCTGAGATCTAATTTGGTGAAGAAGCACGCCCAATGAAGGAATGAGGGGGAGAGGATAACTAAATCTTATCGTCTCCCTGTTCAGTAGTCGATAATCAATGCACGGCCGTAGACCTCTGTCCTTCTTCTTCACAAAGAAGAAACTCGAGGAGGCGGGTGAAGTGGAGGGACGTATATACCCATAGCCACAGTTTTAGCCTGTTACAGGGGGTATATATTACTCCTGGGAGGTACAGCGTCTACCCGGAGGTTTATCGCGCAATCCCCCGCCCGATGAGGTGGTAACTTAGTCACCTGCGTTTTAGAGAACGCTTGCGCCAGATCGAGGTATTCAGGGGGAATGCGCACGGTGGAGGTACTGTCTGGACTTTCCACCGTGGTTGCACCAACGGAAACACCTAGACACATACCCTGACACTCTCGCGACCACCCCGTGAGAACCCTCTGTGGCCATGAGAAGGTGGGGTTGTGGAGTGCTAGCCAAGGGATACCTAATACCACAGGGAAAGCAGGAGACTCAATAATGGAAAAAGTAACCTGCTCACAATGTGTCTCCTGGGTAATCATGGTGACTGGTGCAGTAACTTCCTTAACCAACCCGGACCCTAATGGTCGACTATCAAGTGCTCTGATGGGGCGTGGAATGGATAGGGGAATCAATGGAATGCCTATATGGTGTGGGAATGCCCTGTCCATAAAGTTCCCAGCTGCGCCTGAATCGACTAGCGCCTTACACTGGGGAACTACCATGTGCTCAGGAAAGGAGATGTGTATTTCACAGTGCGCATCAGAGGGCTCTGAA